CAATTCATCTACTGGTCCACCTAGATATTATCTTAAGTGCCTAAAATCTCTAAGGCAATATGCTGGGTGCTAGAGATACAGATTCAAAGGGGGGAAAAAGGAGAACCTTCAATCTGTTGGAATAAGGGAAAATACACACACGTGTGTATGTAATATATGTATGCACATATAGATCCATAGTAAATATATTTAACTATATTTGTAATATATATGTGTGTATGTATTTTTCAGTTCCACTACTGAAAAAAAGAGAGAAAAAAAGAAAAGAAGGAGGGAAGGAAAGAAAGAAAGAAGGAAAGAAAGAAAGAAAGAAAGAAAGAAAGAAAGAAAGAAAGAAAGAAAAAGCAAGCAAGCTTTTATCATGTGTTCATCTTATGTTGATAGTTGATGGTTCTGGCTCTGTGATTAAAGGATTGATCAATCAATCAGCAAACATTATTAAGCACTTTATCTGTTCCAAACACCTTCCTGTGGTTCTTTTAATAGGGCCTAGAACTGCTGATGATGGGCCCAATAGGTTCATTCAGCCTCAGTACAAATGAAAGGGTACCAATATAGCCCTCATCTGTCTGTTTCCTGTTACTGTTCACCCCATTTCCCTATCATGCATCGCTTCTCATGTGCAAGTCACAAATGGTAATGAGCAATCGTATATTCACATTTTCCATTGTCATTCAGATTACCTCCAAATTTGATTCTCTCAAGCTTGTCGTATCCTATGAATCTTGTCCTATGACATCATCAGGATTATATTAGACTTACAGTAATGGACTCTTAGTAGAAGACAGTGTAGACCTATTGATATGTATACATGGTTTCCCAGATATAACAAAACCTACTCTCACTGCTCAATCCTGAACCCTAATTTTCTACTTTTAGTGCTTGCCCAAGACATTTTCAAAAATAATTGACATACTTATAGGGCTTTAAGTCTATATAAACATACATACAAACATAAATGTACACATATACACATAAACACAGATACACACATATATACATATATATGCATATATATAACAGATATATATATATATAATATATATATATAAACATATATAGATATATAAAACAGATATATATACACACATACATACACAGAGGGGGGAAGAAAAAATTTGACTCTGGATTTTTTTTAATATTATTTATTTAGTTAGTTAATTACAAAGGAGTACTCTAGAATAGGGGGTCCACAGAGGGGGGAAGTTTATCTGCAAATAACTAGTTCAAAAACACTTTTAAAATCAGTCTGAAATAAAGGGGACACCATTGAAGTGGGACTGTAAGACAATGTTAGAATTTAATTTGATTTTAATAATAATAATTCATGACTTTTGAGAACTAATACTCCATAAAGTGAGTTATTAACATTTAGACCAGCATTTTAGATAACTTGGGCCCTGTGGGTTAGGAATAGATGAGCATGTAGATATCCTGTGATATGACCTTGGCTTTATCTTTTATCTCATTATATCAGTACCCTTCGTCCTACAACCTGCTATGTGGTGCAGGAGAAGCATCAGTAGATGTGGAGTCAAAGGCTTCTTGTGGTTCCTGAATCTATTCTCTGCAATGAGAAGATTTAAGCAGCCATGATGACTGTCTTCAAATACTGGATGGACTATGTCACACAGAAGTGAGAGCAAGTTTATTTTGCATGCCTGTGGAAGGCACAATGATGAACAATAAATGAGTTATAGAAAGCTAAACTTTAAGTATAAGTAAGGAGAAAATAAAAGGTTTTAGATTTGGAGGAAATCTTAAAACCCAAAAAGTTGAACGACAGTTTTTCCAGGGATCTAGACTCATTTCCCCACCTTTTTGATTAGATTTATTCAGTCGTAGCCAACTCTTTCTGATTTCATTTGGAGTTTTCTCAGCAAAGAAACTGGAGTGCTTTGCCATTTCCTTTTCCAGTTCATTTTACAGATGAAGAACTGAGGCAAACAGGGTTAAGTAACTGGCTAGGATCGCACAGCTAGTAAGTATCTGAGGCTGGATAGGAACTCACAAAGATGAGTGTTTCTGACTCTAGGCCCAGAGCTCTAACTACTGTGCCACCTAGCTGCCCCATTTCCCCACTGGTAGATGAAATAAAAACCCTACATGGGAATCTTGGATTTTGGAGTCTTAGTGAGTCAGGGTCCATGGGACTGGAAGCCACATTGGATAGTTCTGAGATTGCTGAAACAGAAAACCTGGACTGAAGTACTAGCTGTGACACTTAGGTGCTTCACCACTGAACCTCAGCAAATCTCTGTTTCTTCAGGTACAGCGATCACCTTGCCTACCTGACATCGTTAAGAGGAAAGCACTTAGTAGACCTTAACCTATTATAGAAATAGGGGCTATTTTAAAGGACACAACACAGAATAAGGGAAAGAACATGAGGTTCAGGATCAGGAGTTAGAGATTCAAATTCCATCTCTACCGCTTACTAACTGGCTTACATTGGGCAAGTCACACAGGCTCCCAGAACACCATTTATTCAACTGCTGAATGGGACTAATGTCAGTTTTTCTTCTTCCTTTTATGGAGTTTTTGTGAAGACCAAATGGCCCAATGTCTGTCAAGTGTTTTGCAAATTGTAAATGGTTGTTTAAATGTTAACTATTATGTTGTTCAGTTATTTTTCAGTTGTTTCTGACTCTTAGTGACCCAATTTGGAGTTTTTTAGGATACTAGAGTAGTTTGCCTCTTCCTTCTCCAGCTCATTTTACAAATGAGCAAACTGAGGCCAACAGGGCTAAGTGACTTGCCCATGGTCACAAGGCTAGTAAGTGTCTGAGGCCAGATTTGAGCTCTGGAAGATGTCTTCCTGACTCTAGACCGGGCACTCTATCCACTCACTGTATTACCCTTCACTCCCACCTCTCATATTCCCAATGTTTTCATGCTGCTTATGTGATGCTCTTATTGTAGGTCAACAACTCAGTTACATTCATTCACCCAGTGTTAGTGATTTAAAGTGTGTGTGTGTGTGTGTGTGTGTATGCACGTGTGCACATGTGTGGTGGGGTGGGGTTGTATTTCCATAGCAAAGTGGATAGAATAATGTGAAACACAATAGCCAACAAGCATTTATTAGTCAATTATTTACTATGGGCCAGAAGATGCTGTATTAAACTCTAGGGGTATAAAGAAAGCTTATTTTTTTTGTTTGTTTTTAATGAGCCTTGTTCTCAAAGACATTCCATTGTAATGGGGGAGAAAACATGAAAATCCTATGTACACACAAGAAAAATTGAAGGCAACCTCAGAGGGAAAGGGGAGGGATTGGAAAGATATGCTGCAAAAAGTAAGAAATGGAATGTTCTGGGAGAGGAACAGAAAATAGATGAATAGAGCTGCATCATAGCAAACACAAGGTGGAGACAAGCTGGAGAAGAATGGAAGACCAGTTGAGGATTTTAGGCACTACTAGAGATATAAGAGTAGGAGGAGGGGCAGGGAATGAGATACTTCTTTCAAATCATCCAGTATGGGAACATTAGGGACAAGTCTGACGCCAGCATGCAGTGGGTTCAGGTTTTATGCTGGGGCAAATTTAGACCCATATCGATCATTGAGCAATTAACAAAAGGAAGTTTACTTAATGCTAATATAACAGGGATATTCCACAAGGATAATATAGGACAGATATTGGATAGATGCACCCCACTACCTGGATTCACCTCATCGAAACTCTTCTGGACAAACCAAGTTGGATGTGCTGATTACAGTGATTTCCAAACATCTTCCACATTGTAGGGCTTGGAACTCACCTAGCGTTTTCTGTTTGTTTGTTTTTTAGGAAGCTGCCTCAAGGGAGATGAACAATTTGAGCTTTGCCCTGCCAACTTTCTATCTTCTCTCAAATCAAGTCCCACTGTTGCAGCCTTTCAGGGAAAATCTGACCTTACCAAAGTTTGGGGATAGGGTGAGAAGGTTAACCCTGGGACATAGCGGTTATTGTTTTGTTTTGTTTTTCCCTCAGTTTCTTCATCCATAACATGGAGGTAATAATATTTTACTACTTTAGTCACTGGTAGTGAGGAAAATATTTTACAAAGTACATGCTTTATATCCATGTTAACTTACAAAAAAAATATTGTTATTCAGTCGTATATGAATCTTCATGATCCCATTTTATTTGTTTGTTTGTTTGTTTTGTCTTATTCTGACAGAGATACTGAAGTGGCTTCTTTTTCAGATCATTTTACAGATGAGAAATCTGAGACAAACAGGATTAAATGACTTGCTCAGAGTCACACAACTAATAAGTATCTGAGGCCAGATTTGAACTAAGGGAGATGAGTCTTCCTGACTCCATGCCTAACAATCTATCCCCTGGATCACCTAGATACCTGCATAGAAAATAATATTTATTGATAAATAAAAATGTATTCAATTGTTGGCATTAATAGTAACAAATTGTTTTTAAAATGTTTGCACAGTATCTACAAACCTCATAATGCAGAATGTACTGTATTCATAAAGCTATCAAAAAGGAAAGTAATTAAATGAACTCTCCTACCAAGACTAATGGCTATGTTACAAAAATATGATCCCTCCCCCCTCCCCAATTTAAACTACAAATGCACTAACAAATTAAGTTAGGTCATGATTTAATTACAGACCAATAGGTATCAATCATAAAAAATATTATATTTCTCTTTCCCAAGAACACTTAAATTTCAGAGGTGTTGATTGTCACCAGAGAACCCAAGGTTTTCTTTATTTATTTTTAACGTCTATGTTAAGAAAACTAATATAGACTCAAAAAGAATTTTCATTCATGGATTTACTAATTGTTCTTCTCTGCTAATTGCTCTTTGCTGCTGTGGACATTATCAAGCACCAGTTTTAGGAAGCTATGTTATGTCAAGTCAGAGAATACATCTTGCACATTTTTTGTGACACTTCTAAAGTTGCAGAGTCCCTGGATATAATCAGTATTTAATAAATGTATGGTGACTATCACCTCTATGTTACATCGCCCTGATTACTTTTAAAGTCATTTATTGCCTCCAGAGCTTCCTCACAGCTTTTTTTACTTCAGCATTCCTAAGGGTATATATGAGGGGGTTTAGCATTGGGGGCATAACTGTATTAAACAAAGTGACCAGTTTATCTGCTTTAAAGGTGGTGGTTGGGCGAATGTACATATAGATGCAGGGGACAAAGAACAGCAATACAGCAACGACATGAGAGCCACAGGTTGAGAGTGCCTTGCGTCTGCCCTCAGCTGACTGAGTCCTCAAAGTAAACAAGATAACAGAGTAGGAGATGACCAGACAGAAGAACGCAATCAATGAGATCATGCCACTGTTGGCTACCACCATGAGCCCTACCGCATAAGTGTCAGAGCAGGCAAGCTTCAGCAATGGGTGGACGTCACAGAAATAATGGTCGATCACATTGGGCCCACAGAAAGGCAGCTGGATGGTAAGGAGAGTCTGAATGATGGAATGCAGAAACGCTCCAACCCAGAGTACCAACACCAACATCCGGCATTTGCTGCGGCTCATGATGACTGTGTAGTGCAACGGGTAACAGATGGCCACGTAACGGTCGTAGGCCATGACAGTGAGCAGGAAGATCTCTGTGCAGCCAAAGAAATGCACAGCAAAGAGCTGAGTCATGCAACCATGGAAGGAGATGGTTTTCCTCACTATGAACAAGTCAGTCATCATCTTCGGGGTGGTGGTGGAGGAGTAACAGACATCTACAAAGGACAGATAGCTGAGAAAGAAGTACATAGGGGAGGTGAGGTAGCCACTGAAATTTACAGTGACCACAATGAGCAGGTTCCCCATTATAGTCAGGATGTAAAGCATTAAGAAGAACCCAAAGGCCACTCGTTGCATTTTCCAACCTTGCAGGATTCCCAAGAAAACAAATTCTGTCACATTACTTGGATCTTCCATGTATAGTCTGCTCTGTGACTAAATATTGATCCAAACAAACATATACCTGCAAGAAAACCACCAAAAAAAAAAAGAAACCCTCATTGAAGAGAGTTAAGAGTAACCAGCATGTAGTATAATACAATGAGCATTTAGCAAGTGTTTGCCACATGCAAAAGATGCATTATGAGTTGGAGAAACAATAGAAGATGAAAAAAAATCTACTCTCAAAGAATTTACATTCCGGAATGTCATTTTAACTCTCTTGGGCCTAGTTTCATTACATGTAATTCAGAGGGTTGAATTAGATGATTTTATATTCCTTTCTAACTCGTAATCTAATCTATGTCGCTATGTTTCTGGGATGGGGATAAGGCAGTAATTTTAAATAATGATAATACTTGATCATAATTCAAAATTTCATAATACTGTAAAACACATTTGTATCTCACTGGACACACAATGGGCAGGATACTTGACTTTTAACTATCAGTTAACCTTATCACCCTATAGGGACACTTTCCTGGATAAATAAATGATTATGATGAACCTTTCCAGATCAGTAGAAGCCTTGATGGCCCCAATAAAGTGTTTTACTAGAGCCTAAAATTTTCATGAAAGAAAGATTTGAGAGAAAGGTAGAATGACATAAGAAATTTTAGTTCTTTCCTAATTAATTATCTGCATTATAATATTCTGGCTCTTTATTAGTCCTAGTGAATCTAGTAACCATGTTGCATTACATTTAGGATCAATGAAAGTAAAATGGCACCACTGAGAAGTAGGGACTATGAACCACCCTTGGGAACCTCTCCCTGGAAGCTAAGGACATTTTATGTCATTCTTGTGCCAGATAAGTCATCCAAGAGGACTTATTATCATTTTCTGGTCAACTTAACAGCTGTGTGACTCTGGGCAAGTGATTTAATTTCATTGGACCTTAGGTTCCAAATATATAAAATTTAGTTGTAGAAGATATACTCTAATGTCCTATATCAAGTTTCATACTTTCTATAAATCTGTAACAAAAATAGAGTCTGTGTTGATTAAGTAAAAATGTAGCAACCATCTCACATTAATGACATAATTAAATTTAGTAACTAAAAGAGACCTCAAAGGAAAACTAATCTGCTCTCCTCTTTTTAAAGGAGAGGAAACTGAAGCCTATGAAGTTAAATGACTTGCCTAGGGTCACAAAGGAAATGAAAATGAAAGGATATGAAGCCAGGTACTCTGACTCCATATGCATGGTACCTTCTTTAGTCATCTTACTCTAACAAAAAACATGCTACTTGTTCATTGAATTCAGCCTTCTATCCCCCATCTTTGTGGGTTTATGAAAGTGATTCCCTGTGCCTGGGATGCCCTCCAGCTCCAACTCTTCAAATCCTTAGTTGTCTCTAAGGCTCCACTCATTAACCAATTCACACAGGAAGACTTTCCAGACTCCCTCAATTTGGTACAGTTCTCTCATCTTTAAATTACATGATATATTTGTTTCAATGTTATATCTCTAAGTAGAATGTAAGCACCTGAAAGAGGTGATATGGAAGAGAGAATAGAGTGGCAGAAGTGAGTTCAAATCTTGTCTCATACACTTACTAGCTGTGTCATTCTGCGAAAGTCACTTACCTCTGTATACCTGTTTCAGCTTGTATCAAATGAAAATAATAATAGAATCTGCCTCCTAAGAATATTGTGGGGATTGAATTAAATATTTATAAGATACTTTGAAGACTTTAAAGTACTATAATCATAATCACCATAATACAGCTAGGTAGCATGGTGGATAGAATGCTGGGCCTGGAGTCAGGAAGACCTGAGTTCAAATCTGGCCTCAGACACCAGCTTGTGACCCTGGGCAAGTTACTTAATCCTGTTTGCCTCAATTTCCTCGTCTGTAAAACAAGCTGGAGATGGAAATGGCTTATTGCTCCACTATCTTTGCCAAGAAACACCCAAAATGAAGTCATGAAGAGTCAGACACAACTAACACGACTGAACTGCAATAATAATAATAATAATGATAATAATAAAATGATAATGGTGGTGTAAAGGAATTTTTTAATACTGTCTTTGTTGCTATAGTATGTAGTATCATTCCTGGCATGCAAAAGGTGCTTAATAATTGTTTGATCAATTTAATTTAATTAACTCTTGTCCAAAATCACACCAACATAAGATATAGCTGTACAATGTAATCAAAAATTAGTTAACTAGGTTTTGCTTAAAGGCTTATGTAGAAGGAGAAAACTACTAGCTCTTATTTATTTATTGAAACAAAACAAAACAAAATAATGCACTTAAGAACCTCTTGGCCATTTTCCTACCAGGACAGGGGAGCAGGGCATGGGTGGGTGGTGGAACTTTCCCTTCTCACTGTACAGGATCTATGAAGAGAAAATCTCTACTTCTTCAGGAACTGAAAATAGGTAGAATCAACTTTTCTGGTAGCATCTGAAGCCATTGGAAACAACTCAGTTATATTCATTCTAAAATTCCTCTTTATCCTTAGAATATTTGTTTTAGATGTTTACATGTTATTTTTTTCAAATGCATAGGTGCAAAACAAGTTGTTCTGTCATATATGTTTCATTTGTAAATATGTATGTTATACTCCACGTGGAAAAACTTACGTGTCTATGTGCAAAAGGATGGTCTCCACAAATTTAGCATAACATATATGAATATGTCTAGCACATTTACTTAATTGATGTGTACTATTCAATGAGAAGCAACAGATGCTTGTCTTTAAATGCATATTCAAAATTCTCCTTTCTGCTGACCTCTTTCTTCACCTGACAGGCACATTCAACCTGGGCAAGTTACTTAAACTTTCGATCCTTAGTTTCTTCATCTGAAAAATGATAGTTGTATCACATAGTTTTTTGAGTCCTGAGTTTTTTGAGTCCTGTCCTATTCTACATTTCATGACTCTTAATATAATCAGATCTCTATCCTTCAAAAAGGTAGGGATGGGGTTGTAGAAATCTTTACTAAGATCTTATGATTGTTCAAACTTTCATCCTTTTTCTTCCCTTCTTTTCTTTGTCAAATTTCCAGAAGTTGATTATCCCCAGCACTTTCCTGAAACAACTGCCTTCACGGTCACTGATGACCACCATCTATCTCTAAATCCAGTGAATGTTTGGTCATCATCTTGTTGAGCTCTCAACCACTCTGGATGGACCCTACTCTTTGTTCTTTTATCCTTTAGCAGGAATATCATTGAATTCTCACCATTCTCTACTTACTTCTCTTAATGCTTCTTCACTGTCTCCATTGCTATCCTCCTTCTTCTAATATTAGTTCCTTCTCTCTCAGATGAACTCCAATTTATCTTGTAGATATCTTCTTTGTACATAGTTATTTGTATATTGTCTCTCCTATTAGATTTTAAACTCTTTAAGGGTAGAAAATATTTTCAACTTTCCTTGTATCACCAATTCTCAGCAGAGTGTCTAGCATATAGTAGGCATTTAACAAATACTTGTTGACTTCATTTTTCCTTTTATTTCTTTTTAAATAGTGTTTCAATATACCTATCCAGCTATCATCAAGTTATATAATCTTTTTTATATTTTTGTTCTGATAACAGAAAAATGGAATCTCAGTACTGCAAGCACCCTTATTGATCATCTTATGAAAAATCCCATTTTAGAGGAAGAAACTGAGGATCAGAGAGGGGAATTCACTTTCCACATATCACATGATAAATCCATGGTTTATATATCATGTTTTCCAATTCCCAGTATGGGTGTTCCATTAGACATGTTGCCATGAGACTGACCCGAATTCTAGGAGGTTGACTTAAATATGCTGTGACCTGCGTTAGCCCTATTTTTGTAACTTAGCCACAGTGGGGTCTTTCTTCCTTATATCTTCTCTCCTTTCTTTCTCCTTTGTTTCTCTTTTATTGATATATTCCACCCACATGATTTCAACTATCATCTCTATTTAGAGAGCTACCAAATTTGCTTTCACATACACACACGTACACTCACACACACACACATACACACACACACACACACACAAACCTTTTCATGCCTCAAGTTCCAAATTTCTAACTGCCTACTACTCCTATATCCCTCTAGCATCTCAAATTCCCTAAAGAACTGATAAGGTTTCTTTGTCATGGAATCATCTATCTGTGGCAATGAAAGAAATGAAAACTTTTAACAGATATTGGGGCAACAGAAGGGGTAGGAATAAACTTTATATAGAGATGATATGTTATAGTGAAAATAAATCTGTAAGTAGAGTCTAAAATATCTCGGTATGAAGCTTAGTTCTACAACTTACCAGATATGAGACCTTGTATAAGTCATTCAACCTCATTATGTCTCAGTTTTCTCATTATTGAACTATAAGAATCAAACTAGATAATTTTTAAATTCCCTTAGGTCTTGGTATCTGATCCTATTATGATCATATTCCTAGGAAGGCAACATGATGTAGTGGAAAGAATATTGGATTTGATTTTGAAGAGACTTCAGGTTGAACCCAAATTCTGATATCTACTAGCAAGTATTACTTTGGGCAAGTCACTTAAAATTTTTAACTTTTACTTTCTTCATCTATAAAATAGGGATAATGTTACTTTTGGTACATAATTCAAAGAGATGTTGTGAGGATCAAAAGAAATAACATATAAAATGTGTTGTGTATCTTAAGGCACTGTAGATATGTCTAACGTTGATACATCTATTCACTTGGCATAATAGTGTTTCTGAGTCATTGACTTCTAGTCTTGAACAATCAGTCTATTCTACATTATCTCAAGGGATGTTTCAAAATTCTCAATTTTAAATTGATATTGATTAACCTTAAATTGTTAAATGAACTCTTTGTAGAGCAGATCTGGTAGGGAGAGGAGCACTTAGCAAAGAAATACAATATTGCATTGTCACCCCAAATAAATTTAATCTCAGTTGTCACATGGATTGTGGTTAGCAGACTAGCCACTAAATAAGCTTTAATAGTGGATATTGGAAGTATAAACAGGCAAGATCATAATT